TAGCTTATATATTATTATTAATATTTATCCTAAATTTGAATCGTACGTGAACTTAAAGGTATTTTATTAACCGGAAGTGACGTATTCCGGAACTCGGAGTTCAAAGGTTATTGAAGATAGCTACGCTGTAAGCTAGCAGCTAAAAATCAGTTTCTAAATATTTTATGAAACATGTCATCGACAGAAGAAAACACGGACATGGCTTTGCCATGCGTGCTTGTCACTAGCTGTGATGGCGAATTTAAAGAAGAAGAGCTGATAAAACGTAAGTTTTCAGGGAACGGACAGCCCATTTTAGCTAGGAAGCTAATATTAAACAAGGCTAGCAGAGCGGACCAGATGACCCCAGAGAACAGTATGGTAATAATTGAACAGTTCCTTAAAGTTACCATGTTGGTGAGACACGGTTTTCGCCTTTAGAGTGAAGCCTGGAATAAGAACGGAGGTTCAGACCTAAAAATGAGAATTAATAAATTGAAGATCTGAATATCAGGGCACCTGGTTTGTTGCATTAACATTAAAACTGAAAGCTGGTATCCAGTTTGACCTCAGTCAGTGCATTGCTTTGTTTTTCCTTTTCTGTGAAGTCTTCATGTCAGGTAATTTCAATTAATATTTTAATCTTAGTACATTTAATTAACTTCCAATTTCTTTTTGTCAGAGAGATGTTTTTTTTCTTTCTTTCTTCTCACTCCCTTTAGTGATATAGATCTTAAATCAAATTTCTGTAGCTTAGATCATAATTCTATTATTTTGATCCCCATATACAAAACTAACCCTACAAGAAGGCAACCCAAATAAAAACAGTTCATATCTGGTCTGATTATAGCATAGAACCATTAACAGGCTGTTTATCATCAACAGATTGGAAAATATTCTATGAGGAGCAAAACTTGGACACTGCCACAGATGTAATCACAGATGTTATTAAATTCTGTGTTGATATTGTGATACCAACAAAAGAAACCAAGACATTCTCAATAGTTTGTAACGTGATCCCACAGCAATGGGACAGGATTGATTTTGATCATGTTACCTTCAATAAGGTATTCAAACAGGTCACCGCCAATAAGGTCAAGATGGTTTTTCAGTTTTCTTACTGTGAACTTTTGCAGATGTTTCAGCTATCTAAAAAGTTTTGCAGATGAATTGACACATGCTTAGCGGCCAACTTTTTCAGAGATCTGTTGATACTGATACTTTACTATCTTTGTGGAACAGGGGGATTGTTATACCTGTTCCCAAAAAACACTGCTCACAAGAGAACAGACTTTAGACCTATCACTTTGAGATCTGTTGTGATGAAGTGCCTTGAAAAACTGGTGGTTAGTTAACTAGGATCGGATGTGTGTCCACAACTACATCCTTACTATTTTGCTTATACATGTAAGAGTAATTTCCCTCTGGGATTATTAAAGTATGTCTGATTCTGATAAGAGGCACTGATGATGCTTGCAATTTCATAGTGTATCTAGTGGCTAAACATATGAAAAAACCCCAAGGCTTTTGCTATACTGCTCTTTATTGATTTTAGTTTTGCATTTCATACTCTCCAGCCTCAAGTTCTTAATCAAACAAACAAAAAAATGTGAATCCATATATTATCAGATGGTTTCACTCATTCCTTATTAATCATTCACAGCAAGTCATGGTGAACAGGACCTTATCTGATCTTCTCAACAACAGCACTGGCGCTCCCCAGGGGTGTGTCAGTTCACCTGTTCTATTCACTTTATATACCAATTACTGCAGTTGTGATACCCCAAGCATCCATTGTATATTATATTATCATTTGAAAACTGTTTCTGTTTACTCTTATTAATTTGAATGATTTTAAAATGAAAGTATTTGACTGAATTATCTGAGTTTTGTTCAAATGAAATGTAGTTTTACTAGTAATGCTTCCTTATGTTTGATTTTTTTTTTTTTTCTGTTCTTCTCTCAGAAATACTCAACTCACAGCATTTACCTCAGCCAACAAAGCGAGAGGACACGGTTGTTTGGTATCCTTGGACCATCAATAACAAATATTATACGGCTGATGTGCAGTTGTGTGTTGTACCAAGCACATATCAAATGTCTTCAGAGATTGCTCAGTCGATGCAGGCTTTCATTGCTTACTTTGACAGCAAAGTGGTATGTTACCTTTAGAAAAATGTATATTTTCCTACTACAAATTTATTTTGGTTTGCTGTTTATATTATATATGTTTGATGTTTGTAGAAGGATGGACTGGAAAAACTGAATCCCTGGATTCCTGTGGTGGAAGATCTCAGCCCAGAGGTGCAAATTCTTGTGTGCGACAGAGTCTGTGAAAATGGTTAGTTAAAGGAGTCTGTTGGTGTATAAGCAGAATATAAACACCTAAAACAGCATCAGGAAACGCATAAAATTTGATTTATTCTTTAGGTGTCACTAGGCATGAAGCACAACAGTGGTGTTTGTCCCATGCATTTGAGCTTGTGGAGATCAATCCACAGGAGCTACCAGATGAGGACGGTGAGTTCTGCACAGAAAAAAAAAAAACATACATCTGCTTACAGGATCTTAATGGGATTCATTTTTACTAATCATTGTCGCACATTTCAGATGACTTTCCAGAGTCAACAGGAGTAAAGAGAATTGTCCAGGCTCTTAATGCCAATGTGTGGTCCAGTGTGGAGATGAAAGATGGTAAATGATAAACTCAGTTCAGCTTGATAAGAAATATTCTATTGGTGTGATGGTTTGTGAATATGAGGGGGTATGACTGTTTGGCATCTTTTTTCAACAGGGCACAATCAGGGTTTTGGTCTAATGAGCAGCTTGGTTGCTTCCAGACATAACAACCCACGCCACAGCCATGATTCACCGGTTAGATTATGTCTTCCATTAATTTAATATTAACTAAATTTGCAACACCTTGACCTGTATTATATTATACCTTTTATTGGAACAGTCCTGCAGCCTGCCAGCAGAGGGCACACTCACAAGTGAGGAGACCAACCATACAGACAGTGGTTCAAACCGTGACACGCAGGAGGTGTCAGTAGTAGGCAAGTAATATCACTTTAAACATTTGTTGGACCAATTTATTATCCATGTTATGAAATAAACTGAATATGATGTCATTCTTTGCAGATGCAATGACTGATTTAGACATACAGGAACTTGCGAATCTAACTGCTGGGGATGCAGATGCAGAAAATTTTGAGCGCCTATTTACTAAATTAAAGGAGATGAAAGGTAATTAGGGATAGTTAATTGTTACTTTATTGTATTGCTACTTTGTTTGAATGTTGTATATTCTTATACTTTGAAAGCATTTCTGATATACAACCTAATTTGGATTTTTTTATCTCACCATGCAGATAAAGCTTCATCTTTACCACATGAGCAAAGAAAAGTTCATGCTGAAAAGGTTAGTAACTAAACTGTTTCTTTTTTCTCAAACAGGTTAAGCTTCAGGGCCTTGGAAATGTATTCATACGCCGTATTTTCAATTAATTGCAAAGATAATCTTCAGAATATCACCTAAAATGATGATTTTACTTAAACAAAAAAAAAAAAAAATTGAAATGCATGGCTGCTTTACTTTGATACCTCTATATATGCTCAGATATTCAAGAGTTTTTAGATTTGTATCTTTCACTTATAAAGGGGTAAGCAACTCTGAAAGAAGTTCTGGTGAGCACCACAAAGCCTACATGACAAGAAAACCTTTTTAATTGTTTGATTTAATCAAAATATTTTTTGTTTAAATAAAAAAAAAAAAAAAAAAAAATCTTTGTTGTACTGATAAACAACCTATTTAATCCCTATATAAATATTTGCAGTAAACCAAATTTAAAGGGCTGTTTGGATGCAATATATGTTAACATGTCATATTTTAGATGCAATAAATTCATATTTGTTGGATGATCAACTTTAGCTTACACACACACATGTTAGAGGTTAAGATGCTAGAGCTCACAGAAAAGGCTGGGAACATAATGACAGTGTATTTATGATATTATTGCAACTAATTTAAGCATGGGAAAAATACAACTATTTATGTAGAACAGGCTCAGTTGACTAGTGTAAAAATTGATAAGCAATGCATTTTGTCTGCAGCCAAATAATGGTAAATTCTTCCTTGCACCAATTATGTTAATTTATGGTGGAAAACAGAAGAGAAAAAAGAAAAAGCAGTTTATAATCTGTCCATATTAAATGGGACTATATCATGCTAAATATTTTAACTCTTATAATACTATTCCTTTATCAACGGCATGCCCAAAGTGCTATTTTGCAAAATAGACCCAGAAAACAACTTTCATAATGAATACTCTATAGTGCCAAAGGCAGTGTTTTTATAATTGGTTTATAATTCCTATTGTTGAATTTGAAAGGCTTAAAAAACATGATATAGAGACTATAAAAAAACTTGCATTTCAATTTTGGAAAGCTTTTTGAGTCTCATTGTGAAGGGCCCCAAAAGGCATATTAAAGTTGCAAGTTGCATATTAAAAAATCCCCCCAACAAACATTAAAGTTTTCAGCCAAAAATGACATCACAAAGGTTCATGTTTTAACCACAGATAGAAGGGGAATAAACATGGGTCGTTGAAGGTAGAAGTGTAAAATTTCAGTTTAAAAGTGAATTTTGGTCTGAAAACTTGTTTTGGTTTCCAGGTGGCAAAGGCCTTTTGGATGGCTATTGGTGGCGAAGAAGATGAAATAGATGGGTTATCTTCTGGTGAAGACAGCTAAAATTGGTTACCTGCGGATCAGCCATTGTCCCTCCACTTTTTTTCTGGGGTCAGCACAGGTGCCTGTTGACGTTCTCATCATACTTGGAAGGTGGATTCGCTCACAGGTGGCACTGTAAGAATAGATCTGAGATTCTTAGAATGAAACAATGTATACTGAAATACTATTGAGAGGGTAAGCTATGTGTGGCCCCAGTCCTTCCTCTTCTTCCCCAGCGTCCTTTAATATGCTTAAGCCCTGTGTGATCTTCAATAGAAGGTTGGAACTGGGTGGGAAAACATGGGACATTTGATTCATATTTGTTTTTAGGTACTTTCAACATATGTTTTTGTTACATATGTGCCTTATCCATGAAAGACTTAATGATCATTCGGATAAATCAGCAAAACCATTTCTTTTTTTAGTTTCATAGTGACTTTCATGTATTTATTGTGAACACTATCTCACAACTGCCGTTTTTACTACTCAATTTGGTTCAAACAGATGCTATATGTAGAAATGGAAAAACAATGTACATCAGCAAATAAAATGAGTAGTTGAAACAAAGGTTTGTTCATTCAGTCTATACAGTGCCTTGCAAAGGAAATCACATCACATAAGCATTTCCCAATTGAGAAACCACAAACTAATGAACTTACTGGGATTTTGTGCGTTAGATCAACATAAAGTTCAAAGGTGTGCAGTTTGATAGAATGAAATGCATTGCTTTTAAAAAGAATGCATGCATTTGCAACTAGTACACCATTTCTGAATATAGAATTCAATTGTCTTGTTAATTCACCTGAGCGATAAATGGTGTATATTTTAATCTCAGCTCTACTATGAAGTTATCAAATATATAACTTTTATTTTAAACAGAATGGAGAGTAAAAAGCAAAGTGGAAAGGTCAAAGATATGTCAAGATAAACCTTAAAGAAAAGAAAAGCAACAAATGTTATTATTAGCTCTGGGCACAGAGGACTGTTCAATCCATCTGAAAATAGGAAGAGTATGACACAGATGTAGTTCTTTAAAAAAATGTCCATCCATGTAAACGACAGACAGACTGGTTAAGGAGATTCTCAATTAGAACTCATCCAGTGTTCCTCTGGAGGAGCTGCAGTGGGTATAGTAGAATCTGAAGCACGACTGTCAGTCATGCAGTCCAAAAATCTGATCTTTAAGAAGGAAGCAAATCAATGTATCCTTAGGAAACATGTGAACAAATGAACTTGATTGCATTGTTTTACAGCTATATTAAGTTGGGATACATTTAAGAGGTTAGATGAGTCCATAACGCTTTAAGTATTTATTCTAAATGCTTAATGTGTGGTGGGAATACTTACAAAGCTCAGTCTTGGTCAACCATAACCCTAATGTTTAACTGTGGTAGTGACATTATGCTGTACAGGTGCCATAAATCCAGTCAGACGTGGGAGCTGGCTGAGATGAGAGAAAGATGGATAGAGCTACAACCTTGGAGAAAAACTGTTTAAGGCTTCAAAAGATGTGAAAATTGCTGTACACAGACACTCTTCATCCAGACTGACTGAGGTTCAGCTAGCAGGGGCATGCTTTAGAACAGCGACAGTCAGAGTCTGAGTGATGTTTTATTTTGAAAAATATAAAAAATTGCGATATTCTCTCCCAATTACATCAGTCGGTGCATCTGTGCCTCTTGACAAAGGTTAATTAAGTTCAAGACTCATCCTATCTATAACATCCTATCTTTGTGAAGCGGGATTTTCTGCGGTTACAGTGACCAAAACAAATCTACGGAGCAGACTGGACATCAGGACTCATTGTCTCCAATTACGCCTAGATGGAACAGCTTGTTGTTTTATTTTGTATTTGATTTTATGCCAGTCGTATCATTTTACTTGATCGTAATCCCCCCCCCGCCCCCCGTTCCGTTAAAATATTGTCTGACATATAGTGGTCCGTGGTGCAAAAAAGGTTGGGGACCGCTGCTTTAGAAGACCTACAATTAACAGTTTAGTTTGCCAAATTCAAAACTACAGTAAATGCAGTTTCCACATAAGATTGGCTTTATACCTCCAGCACACTCTTAACTTTGGCAGGCATTTATTGGGAGAGTTTAAATACATATTTAAAGATTTAGGAAACATTGAGAAGACTCCTCTGTAGCATTTTAATAAAAGTTCACATTTATAACAGATCAGTTGACAAAAGGGAAATAGCCACATGTATGTAAGACATCACCCAGAAAAGCAATGAAAAAAATAAAGAAACAGATACCTACCAACAACATATCGCACCAAAGTGCACATAGCCAACTACCATGCCAGTGTTAGGAATCACATGGAAACACAGCTTACCAGAAGTGCAGGATGTACACTGTTGAGTCAGAGACGGTGGCAATGACAGTAACAATACACATGCCTTATATTATGACACTGTACATATAGTATGTTATTTTTTTGGCAAGCATTTACTACAATGTTAATATGATAAGCACTGTAACCTGGAAGTGTGTTGTTTAGTGATTTACAACAGTTTGTTCTCATTTTCACCCCACAGTTGTTTTCTAAATTCCTCTGAGGAAAACTGCCATATTACCTCTATTAAGAGAGAAATAGTGTTTGACACAGAAGCCTGGTCCAGATGTTGTTAGTAAAGTCTTATGAGTCAGCCCTACAGCAGAGGTCAGTCAGGATCACTACTTCAAGAATTTTTCCTACATTAAATTATAACATTTATGTACAGTCATATTTAGGAAATCATAAAAATATATTCCCATGTCAGATAATATGCAAAAATAACTTCTGTCTCTTTCACAGAAAAAAATAGTTCATACATTTTTCTTTTTTACAGAAACAATAGTGCCTTGTTTTTCTTTGTGTAGACAAACTACCAATCATATCATAAATTAGAAAATATATATAAATAAATGAATATAGGGAAAGTAGTGTCTTAAAATGACATTACAACGACAAATGAATACCTGTCATATTATTTCCTGTATCAGGTCAAACATTCCCCTCCATTTAGAAGCTAAAACACTAATGGTAACTACGAATCTTGGTTAAATCACTTAATTAGTCAAAAAAAAAAAAAAAAAGCAAGCTAAATTTAAAATGATCTAAGCTTTCAGAATAAGTATTTGAAGTGTCTGTATGGAGGAAAAAAAACTGCATTACTAAGTAATGAAATATTTGAATGATTAGTTAAACCTGTTTCATCTTCTCAAAAACAAAATAAAGCCAAACCACAAACTCTCTAATATAGTGTAACAATCAGCTGCTTATAACTCATGATTTAAAATAAAAGCGTTTTGAACAGATTGAATCTTTTTCAAAATGTGACACCAAGCAGATACATGTGCATTCAGAATTACATCATCATTAAAACCTTAATTTAGGTCATTCACTTCATAAAATGAAACTTCAATGTACACAGGCATGTGCAAAGCATTTAGTACTGTTCATTTAGATGAAGTAATCCTGTTAAATGTTTGATTCAATATTCTAAATTTCCATGAATTTAATCTTGGGTTAATAATACTAATCAAAAATAACAGAATTAAAAAAAATAGATCACTCTGGTTTTAATGTGTCTAGAGCAGGGGTCACAAACATCCCTGCGGGTAACAACCTGCCCTCAAGGATCACACAAGTGCCCTCGGCACCTTCTAAAAACAGAACAACTTACCAGTGGGCTAAGTTTGATTTATTTTTTTTTTTTATTAATATTATTTGTTGCTCTTTTTTAATCTCTGTAGAACATTTAACCACAGTAATCAAACTAGAAATTAAAGGTAACAAAAATATGTTTATGTATATAGCTTAGGTGAACACTGGTGCCTCCCATTCATCGGTCAGTATTGATAGCCCTTCTTATGAAGTAGCCCTCAGCCTTAAAAACGTTGGTGACCCCTGGTCTAGAGGTTTTGAACTGAACTACAGTAATAAACGCTTGACATTCCATTGAGGTGCCCTTGTAGTGAAATGAACAATGCTTCTTTCTTCATCACTGACAACACTTTGACATTTTTGCAAAAGGTTTGCACTCAGTTGCATGTTGACACTAGTTTTCCTAAGAGACACTGGAGCAGTGGATACTGGGAGAGCCCATCTGCATAAGGACCTTGTCCAGCCATTGCAAAGGGCCATTTAGGTGCAGCTCAATCCAGCAGGGGGTGCTAGTGACCGTCTGACGTCTGCAGATTAGACACACAAGACAATTATTAGTGTGGGCTCAGTTAAAGTACTGCATCATAGCGCTAAATGTGTAGAGTAAAAGTGAAACAGGTAATTGTTTGAAATTTTTAGCATGTAATGCATACTTTCCTATGTAGATTTAACTGAATTAACCCACAAGCAAAGCTAAAAGTCACACAAGCCTCTAAGCCATTTAATCGTTTACAGGAGATGTTTTCCTCTAAGGTGTTTGGTGGGACAGAAACGCAATACCCACATATCCACAGTCTTGTGGAAATCCCCTCTGCAAAGAAATCGACCCTCCTGTTTCATGTCCGCCACACCACCACAAGCATGCATTACTTCCCCTCTGTCACAGCTGCACTCCCCCGCTATCTGACTGAACGTAAGCAGCAGTTTGAAAAGGTTTTACTTATGTCCTCCTCATTAAATAAATCCTTTACTATTATTAAAACAACATCAATCTCTCTCCCTAAAAAAATCACAAGACTTCAACCATTGGAGACAGGATATTTACTAAACAACTGATTTAGATTTACAAACTTCTGAGGATTAGTAGTATCATCACAATATAATGTTATGTGCTCTGAAAAACAAATTAGAGGAATAAGAGGAAGCAGACCTAATCCCTGCAACAGACCTCAAGACCATTAGATTTTAATGGCATCCGAAGTGTTTTAATATTTTTGACCATCTGTATCATAACCAAACATTTAATTGTTTGTCCTTGTTTTAAAAACAAATGAAACCAAGTAATGGTTACTAAGAAATAGAAACTACAAGCTAAACCCACTTTTCTGACTGATTTGATGCCAATTCAAAATATTTACCTGTACTCGGCTCCCCATCCCTTCACAAAACTCATGCGAATGGTGCACATCCTGGTTAGCTGGTAAACCGCCTCGAAGCCCTGGTTGACAGACTGAGCAAGGAGGGCAGCAAACTCTTGGTTGTTGAAAATCTTCAGGTTGCATCCTGTCAAAATGTGTTTAGACTTAGTGTTGCCCAGACTAAAGACACGTAGTTTGGGTAGATCATTTATAAGCCCGGTAATACTCCAACTTCAGAGCCTACCACATTCATAGGGAGTCAGAATAACTCAGAGGAACATT